GCTTTCTTTCTCTCTCTCTCTGCCTCAGGCTCTCTCTCTCTCTCTCTCTCTCTCTCTCCCTCCCTCCCTCCCTCTCTCTCTCTCTCTCTCTCTCTCTCCCTCTCTCTCTCTCTCTCTCTCTCTCTCTCTCTCTCTCTCTCACACACACTTTCTCTCTCTCAGGCATGTAAAAACAAACATTCCGAACAAAGCTCACAATACTTTCATTACCAACCTTTGCAGCTTCAGAGAGAATAACAGAGAGAGAGAGAGAGAGAGAGAGAGAGAGAGAGAGAGAGAGAGAGAGACAGACAGACAGACAGACAGACAGACAGACAGACAGACAGACAGACAGACAGACACACATACAGACAGACACACATACAGACAGACACACATATAGACAGACAAACAAACAGACAGATAAACAAACAGACAGAAACAAACAGACAGATAAACAAACAGACAGAAGCAAACAGACAGAAACAGATAGACAGACTGCCTTCCTGTGAGGAAGAACAAACAGCCACCGTGATAAGCAAATGAGTGAACGTAGCGTGCAACACAATCCAAATACAAGTTCTATAATTAAGTACTAAATCGCGAGGTTGCGATAGCTTCAAGGGAAGAACTGGAGGTGAATCCATCGTTTCAAAAGAGAGTAGTGGTAGTTGTGGGTGTTATTGCAGTAGTAGTAAGTAAGTGGTAAGTAGTAAGTGGTAAGTGGTAGTAGAATCAGTGGTAGTGGTATCATGTCTAAACAATCGTAGCTATTATGACTTTGACACGAACCAGTACTAGGATAATGATTTTGATAATAGTAGCAACAATTGTGATAAGAACGATTACGATAAATTTTCACTTAGAGATGTTAAAACTGTGGATGATACCAAATATGATTATTCTATTCACACAAAATAAACTTCATTTCCCTTGTTTTCTAAACACATTGAAGTCTTCCACTCTGTCTGGGATATTTCGTAAATAATCTTAACATCTGGAGAACGTCAATAAAGAGTAAAGAAAATAACAACTTAACCCTTAATACACATATAACAGAGAGTGTTTTCCTAATGCCAAACGTTACGAAAACAAACGGTTCATCTCATAACGATTTAAATAACACCTTTATCTACCACTCTAAATAATGAAAAAAAGGCCAAGAACATTTAGAAACAACAAAACAAAACAAAAGATAAACGACATTCGAAACAAACACAAAAAGATATTCGATTAACAAAACACACATGTTGGCACAAATATATTTTCTTGATCATTCCGCGAATGAATTTTCTTGGCGAGAAGGTTCACGGAGAACTAAAAGAGTTGTATGGTATACGAGGGAAAGATATGTCACAGTATAGCATAGTATGTTCAGTATAGGAGAGTATGTTTGGTATAGTAAGTAAAGGGAGATATATATATATGGTATGGAATGTTTGGTATAGGAGTATGTATGGTTTTGTAAGTACAGGTAATATACAGTATAATATACAGACTATATTACGGCTTAGTATAGTATGTACGGTATAGTAAACAATAAGAATAAGGAGAAGAAGAAGAAGAAGGAGAATTAAAGGAAGAGGGAAAAGATAAAGGAAAAGAAGAAGGAGAAGAAGAAGGAGAATTAGTATAGAATGCAGAGTACAGCAACTATAGATAGATGTACAGTGTAGTATAGTAGAATACATACAGAACAGTACTGTTTAGGGTTTAATGTAAATAGGTACCCATGGTTTAGTATAATAATAATACGTTTTAGAAGAAATAAGTATATATACGTAGGATATACTAAAGTATAACCGCTTGGGAAGACCGAGGAAAGAGTATTTCGTGTACCTTAAAATTTTCTAGAAAGTAAGTTCTTTCTCAGTTTCTTGAAAACGGAATGAGATATGAGGGGTTATGTACACTTGACTTCACCCAGAGACTCACTCTCTCTCTCTCTCTCTCTCTCTCTCTCTCTCTCTCGCTCTCTCTCTCTCTCTCTCTCTCTCTCTCTCTCTTTCTCTTTCTATCTCTCTCTCTCTTTTTCTCTCTCTCTCTCTCTCTCTCTCTCTCTCTCTCTCTCTCTCTCTCTCTCTCTCTCTCTCTCTCTCTCTCTCTCTCTCTCTCTCTCTCTCTCTCTCTCTCTCCCTCCCTTTCCTTCACGCACCAGGAAAGACAAACCCTTCATTTTTATATCCTTCAAAACTAGACAAAAACTACCTAAATTTCCTCTTCATGTCGCGATTATATATTTTCCACAGTTCGTAGACAAGAATATAAAACCCAATTATATACGAACATGATATCAAAAATACATCCCTCCTTTCCTCCTCCCCCCTTCCCCCCCATTTTTAAAAAAAGACGAAATTCCAAAAACGAAAGTCCCGCCTCTCTTAAAGAAAAAAAAGTGTGAGGAAGGGTTCAAAAAATAAAAAGTAAAAAATCTAAAAAAAGGGAAAAAAATAGGTGCTGCTTGCAAACACGGGGTTCTTGCCTGTCCTATAAAAACACCAAACTACAGAATTCCTTTGCCGGGTCGCACCAACAGCTGTTTTCCTCATCCCTCAGCCGAGAGTAACTTCCAGCATCCACGAGACTTTGCATGCCTGTGCAACATCCAGGCGTCGAACTCTTGCATATCCAACTAGGATATTTCATTATTCTTAACGAAGGAGGGAATTCGTTTTCTTTTTTTTTCTCTTGTCTTCTCTGTTTCTTCTTTTTTCGTCTTTTTCTTTTTTTTCCTCCTTTTCTCTTTCTTTTTTCTTTCTTACATTTTTTCTTTCTTTCCTTCTTTCCCTCTTTCTTTCTTTCTTTCTTTCTTTCTTTCTTCCTTTCTTTCTTTCTTTCTTTCTTTCTTTCTTTCTTTCTTTCTTTCTTCTTCTTCCTCTTCTTCTCCCTTTTCTCCGTCTCTATCATTTTCTTCTACCCCTTCTTCTCTTTCCGTTATTATCTAGTAATGTTTAGCGTTCTAAACACAAGAATAACGAAGAGAAGAGAATAAAAAAAAGAAGAGTTAAAATAAGAAGAAAAAGAGAATGAAGAAGAAGAAGAAAAAAAAGAGGAAGAAGGGGAAGATAAAGGAAAAGAATAAGGAAAAGGAGAAGGAGAAGAAGAAGGAGAAAAAGTAGAGGAAGAAGGAGAAGATAAAGGGGAAAAAATAAGGAGAAGAAGAAGAAGAAGGAGAAAGAGATGGAAAAGAAGTAGAGGAAGAAGGAAAAAAAGGAAATGAAAGAGAAAAAGAGGAAAAAAGAAATACGTGGAAACCCCTCTTGTTTAACTTTTTTTTTTTTTTTTTTTTTTTTTGTCTCTTAAACGTAACGATTTTATCATATACTTATCTTTAACGAATTGAAAGACTCGTATTTTTATATTCCCTTTCATATTCTTTATCAACCTTAAATCAACTTTTAAAATGATTATATTTGTCTAGTATATTCCTGTTATAACTTGACTAATAGTGAGTTTGGTGTCCATGCTTTAAAGTAAGTTCAAGGGAAACTGTGCTCATTTCATACATAGTGTCTATCTACAGTGCTTAAGTATTTCATGTTGTTGTATATAGGTAGATAGTGAAATCAACAAATAATAGAGTAAGTGAGTTACAGGATATTAAATGATAATTAAAAGACAACATATATTGAACACAATTGCAAACGTGCATAACACACTCACACACACACATATATACACACACACGCACGCACACACACACACACACACACACACACACACACACACACACACACACACACACACACACACACACACACACACACACACACACACACACACACACACACACACACACACACACACACACACACACACACACCTTGACAGAGTTGTTTTTCCCTTTATCTAGATTACCAGACGCCGAAATGCCAAACACGGAAGTCTACGCAGTTGGACCTTTGGGGTTTGTGCATATCCACTGTATAAATGTGTTATATATATATATATATATATATATATATATATATATATATATATATATATATATATATATATATGAGAATATATATATATGAGTGTGTGTGTGTGTGTGTGTGTTTGTGTGTACATATATGTATGTACAGACATATAAATTATATACACACACATATATGAATGTCTGTGCAGACATAGTACAAGTACGTATACGTATATTTTTTTATCCATTCACCCATTTATTGATCAATCTGTTTGTCTATCTATCTACCAATCTATCTCTCCGTCTATCTATCTATATGTCTGTCTATAAATCTATCTCTCTACTATCTATCTGCCAGTCTATCTATCTACCCATCTATCTATCTATCCATCTATCATCTATCAATCTATCTATCTACCCATCCATCTATCTATCCATCTATCTATCTACCCATTTATCTCTCTATCCATCTATCCATCTGTATGTTCGAATAAACATATTTATACATATATATGCATATATTTATATACATATACATACATATATACATATACACATACACGAGGTTCTAAAAGATCTAACTGCGCACATTTACACGCTTGGAATTTAGTCACGTTAGGTAATCGGGAAAAAGGGAAAACCGCCCTTATCGCCGGACACGAATTGGCTCTCCATGCAAGCGCCGCCAGAGCCTACGGGACGACAGGCAAATCGGCTCCAGCCTGCCTTGACTGGTTATGCACGCAAATACTCACGGGCGGGAAATGAATCTTCTTGTTCCTAGCAATATATACAGAATAAATATAGTGAGGGCTACCAGGCAGAGCTGGGCAGCGTGGGCACTCACCCAACTACAGTGCTGGGCTGCGGAGTGGCTAGGAGGCGGGGAGGGTGGGGTGGGAAGGTGGGAGGGTGGGAGGGAGAGGGGAAGGGAGGGGAGGGGAGGGGAGGGGAGGAGGAGGAAGGGGAGAGGAGGGAAGCAGGGAGAGTGAGGGAGGGGAGGGGGAAGAGGAGAGAGGGAAGGGAGGGGAGGAGGAAGAGGAGAGAGGGAAGGGAGGGGAGGGAGGGAGAGACAGAGGGAGGGAGGGAGGGAAGGGAGGGGATAGGGAGGACACAACACGCTGGGCCAAAAGTGCTCCGTTCACCTATTCTCTCGGTCTTGTCTCCTGTACATAACGTGAGAGCTAACTCACTTTCCGTCAGCTGTGCGTCGAGGCGAAAGTATGAGTCGCAGAGGATGAAGAAGCCGAACGGGTCACCTTGCTATAGAAAACGACTCGCTTCTCCTCTCCGTATTTTTTAAACTCCCTTTTTTGTGTGTCGAACCAACGGGGGGAAAACTCGGCAGTATTTTAGTAGCCGCACGGGTCAGGCAGGCACCTCTGCGTCTATTTGGACCTCGCCAATACCAACACGCCTTCCACTAGCAATACCAACACCACAGTCACTACCAACATAGGTGGAAGTCCGGGCCGTGTACAGACCCAACCGGCGTGACGCTTTGCTATACCTAGTGTTAATTGTCTTGTGGTGAAGTGACCAGTGCAATCTACGGACTTACTGATATTGCAAAGAGTTATTGTTTTGTGATGAGAGTAACAGTGAATTTACGTAGTTACATTAAAGTGTAGACTGTCTGATACGATCACTTTACCAGTGTTACTGAATAGGTATCGTGACCTTGAAAAGTGTGTTAGCGAAGGAAAACAGAACTCGGAGCACTATTCATACTTTGTGCAACATATCTGCAGTACAAGTGAGTTAACATACTCCGAATATTACAGCCAAGCCAGAGAAAATATACACAGTGTATCTAAACCAGTGAGTTAGCCAAGCCAGTAAGTGAACGTACCTTAGGAAAATATATGAATTTAAGCAGGAGTTAACATATGCGGAGAAAATGTTCGAATACCAAAGAAAGTATATAAAACTAAGCCAAAGAATTAACATACGCTAAGAAAGCATACAAAAAACTAAGCCAAAGCAATATCTCTTTCCGAAGATGCGATCGCCTGAGCAAAATCTTTTGGCCCGGCGGTCACTTGCAACCTATCTGTAGATACGTAAAACTAAGCCAGTGAGTTAACATACCAGAAGCAAATACATAAAACTAAACCTGTGAATTAACTTACACTAAGAAAACAGAAAAATACTAAGCCAGGGCGCTAACATAGCCTCAAACAACGTTCCTTTTCCCCCCAAGATGCGATCGCAGGAGCAAAAAGTTTTGGTCCGGCGGTCGCTCGCAATCTGTCCCGTGGATCAAAAATTTCTCTTCCGGAAGCAAAGCCCGCGAAGGTTAGCCGTCGGGGGCAAGACAATCCAATTCCACTCACGGCGAGAGGAATAACTAGGGCGATTTGTTACTGTGAAATTCAATTTTGGTGGAGGAGAAGAGAGGGAAGGGAGTGGGAGAGAGAGAGAGAGAGAGAGAGAGAGAGAGAGAGAGAGAGAGAGAGAGAGAGAGAGAGAGAGAGAGAGAGAGAGAGAGAGAGAAAGAGAGAGAGGGAGGGAGGGAGGGAGAGAGAGAGAGAGAGAGAGAGAGAGAGAGAGAGAGAGAGAGAGAGAGAGAGAGAGAGAGAGAAAGAGAGAGAGAGAGAGAGAGAGAGAGAGAAAGAGAGAGAGAGAGAGAGAGAGAGAGAGAGAGAGAGAGAGAGAGAGAGAGAGAGAGAGAGAGAGAGAGAGAAGAAGAAGAAGAAGAAGAAGAAAAGAAAAAAGAGGGAGCGGGGTTAAAACAAAAGATGGAAACAAAATGGTCGTGTTTTTTGTTTTTTTTTGAATCGGGATAAAAAATTTTGCTTCGGTTGCCGGCGGAATAACAAAATTCAATCTGTCGTTTTCTAAGACTCGCGTTACAAGGATGATGAAAAGGAGATGAGATGGAGGGGGATAGGGAGGGGGAGGGGGGGATGAGGAGGAGAGTGGAGGAGGGAGAGAGCAGAGGGGAGGAGGAGGAGGAGGAGGAGATTGCAGAGGGGGGGGGGAGGAAGGAGGAGGAGGAGGAAGTGGAGGAGGGAGAGGAGGAGGAGGAGGGAGGAGGAGGAGAGAGCAGAGGGGGAGGGGGGAGGGGAGGAGGAGGAGGAGAGAGCAGAGGGGGAGGGGGAGGGGGAGGGGGAGAAGGTTGAAGTGGAGTAGGGAGAGGAGGAAAGAAGAAAAGTGGAGGGAAAAAATACGGAGGTGAGGAGGAGGAGGAGGAGGAGAAAGTGGAGGAAACAGACTAGGAAGGGAGGGAGAGAGGGAGACGAAGAAATATGCGAGTGAAGCAGAAGAAGAAGAGAGAAACAGGAGAGAGAGAGAGAGAGAGAGAGAGAGAGAGAGAGAGAGAGAGAGAGAGAGAGAGAGAGAGAGAGAGAGAGAGAGAGAGAGAGAGAGAGAGAGAGAGAGAGAAAGAGAGAGGGAGAAAGAAAAAAAAAGAGACAAAAAACAAAGATAATGACGGAAGGAGGAAGAAAAGATAACAAAACAAAATAAACAAACAACCTACCCAACAGAAACCAAGAGATACAGAGTGAGGAAAAGAGGAAAGAGGGGAGGGAAAGGAGGCGGGAGGGGGCACGGGGCGGGGAGGGGAAGGAGGGGAGAGAGAGAGAGAGGGGGGGGGGGGGAGTGACGGCCATCTGTCAGTGCCATTAATGTCAAGCAAGATTCAAGGGCAGGTCGAAAAAGACTCGTGGAAAACAGCCTTTGTAACCGAGGATGTGCCACAGTCTATCTTTAATTGGGGGGAGTTTCTCATCGATGGAGGGCTGGAGATAGATAGGTGGATAGGTGGATAGATAGATAGGTGATAGGTAGATTGATAAATAGATAGATAGGTGGATAGGTGGATAGATAGATAGATGATAGGTAGATTGATAAATAGATAGATAGGTGGATAGGCTGGTAGATTGATAGGGAGATAGGTGGATAGATAGAGGGTGGATAGATAGATAGATAGATAGATAGATAGATAGGTAGATTGATAGATAGATAGATAGATAGGTAGATAAGTAGGTGGATAGATAGATAGATAGATAGATAGGTAGATAGATAGATAGAGAGATAGATAGATAGATAGATAGATAGATAGATAGATAGATAGATAGATAGATAGAGTAGGGAGGGAAGGAGGAGGTAGGGAGGAGGGAGGGAGGGAGGGAGGAAGGAGGGAGAGAGAACGATAAAGAAACGGAGAGAAAGAGAGAAAGAGAGAGAGAGAGAGACAGAGATCCAGACAGACAGACAGACAGACAGACAAACAGACAGACAGAGAGACAGGAAGGGCGAGGACACTTGAACATATTTGAACATTCATCGAGGCCGATGAGTAGAGAACAGACACCGACCTCGACAGGACGGGGAAATTGCACCTGGCACCGTATTGTCACCTGGATATAGTGACGGCTGAGTACGAGGTTGTGTTTTGGAGTGCGTGGCTAGGATAAAGAGGAGGGAGGAGGGGGGGGGGGGTAGAGAGGGAGGTAGGATGAAATTGGACGAAGAGGAAGAGAGGAGGAAGAGGGGATAAAGAGAGAGATAGGATGAAATTGGACGAAGAGGAAGAGAGGAGGAAGAGGGGATAAAGAGGGAGATAGGATGGAATTGGACGAAGAGGGAGATAGGAGGAAGAGGAGATAAAGAGGGAGATAGGATGAAATTAGACAAAAGGGAGAGGAAGAAGGAAGAGAGCTTGACCAGGAGGGAAAGGGAGTGATAAAGAGGGAGACAGGATAGGACTGAACGAAAAGGAAGAGGGATAGAAGATTGGTAATTCGTGATATAGGATTAGGGGGTGGGGGGGGAGAGGACAATAGGTAATTAGATCGATGTAGAAGGATAAGGGTGATAAGAAAAGGGAGAAGAAGAAGGAGACTGAGGAGAAAAGTGGAAGATAAGAAAAGGAAGAAAAAGGAAAGAGGAGGAGGGGAAAGAGGAGGAGAAAAAGAAACAGACGAATAGAAAGACAGGAGGGAAGAGAACGAAGGCGGAAAAGAGCATAATTGGGGGAAAATATGAGGAAACGAGAAAAAGTTAAAAAATACACATAAAAAAGAGACAAAAAAAAAGGAAAAGGTTGTAAAAAAAGTATAAGAAAAGGTAGTAAAAAGGAAGAAGAAAGGGAGAAAAGAAAAGAAAGAGAAATAAAACAGCCTTAAGTTCATCGCAGAAGTTTCTAGTACCGTCCGGCTATTTCCCGAGTGACAGCTAGTACGAACTGGCAAGAACAGGAACTGAAGGAGAGTTTGCGGTCGTGAATGAGAAAATGTAACGTGGCAGAGTGATGATAAAAGGAGGAAGAGAAGGAAGGGAGGAAGGGAACAGGAGGAGGAGGAGGAGGAGGAGGAGGAGGAGGAGGAGGAGGAGGAGGAGGAGGAGGAGGAGGAGGAGGAGGAGGAGGAGGAGGAGGAGGAGGAAGGAAGGAAGGGAGGAAGGAAGGGAGGAAGGAAGGGAGGAAGGGAGGAGGAGGAGAAGGAAGGGAGGAAGGAGGGAAGGAGGAAGGGAGGGAGGGAGGAGGAGGAGGAGGAGGAGGAGGAGGAGGAGAAGAAGAAGAAGAAGAAGAAGAAGAAGAAGAAGAAGAAGAAGAAGAAAAAGGAGAAGGAGAAGAAAAAAAAAGAAAAAAAAAAGATGACAACCATGATGAAGTTGAGGATGATAAAGAAGAAGAAGAAGAAGAAGGAAGAGAAAAAAAAGAAGGGAAAAAAACAGAAAAAAAACAAACAAACACAATCAAATCGAAAAGCAAAATTCCCTCGTCGGATTTCATCTGCCATTTAAACAAAAAAATCACGTGACTTGCAAGACGAAAGGTAATGCAGAGAACTTCGTAAGGTACAAGAGAAAGCTATGAAGTAAGGTCAGTGTATGTGTGACCTCGGGGAAGGAAAAAAAGGTCAATCGAAGAGGTCAGACGAGAAAACGTTGATAAAAGATGATAAGAGAGAGTGAAAGACTATTATTACGTTTGTGGTCGTTTTTCTGTGCTGGGAATAGGGACGGGGGAGGAGGGGGGGTAAGGTGAGTTTAGTGAAAGGATGGAATAAAAAGGGAGTTGGTAGATTCACTCATTTTTGTTTCGGTCTGGGTCTGTTTGTCTGTCTGTTTCTTTCTCTCTCTCTCTCTCTCTCTCTCTCTCTCTCTCTCTCCCTCTCTCTCATCTCTCTCTCTCGTCTCTCTCTCTCTCTCTCTCTCTCTCTCTCTCTCTCTCTCTTTCTGTGTGTGTGTGCCAGAGAGAGAAGAGAGAG